AATAAAGAAAACTATTTATTTTTATGGACATTTTCACTACACGAAGATTTTTCTTCTAATATCTGGTGAAATTTATTAAATCACAATTCAAGAACCATTCAATACTTGGCTGACCACTAACGAGGTTCACTAATGTGACCTTTGGTGAAATTTGAATGTCAACTATCTAAGAATCACTTGTACCTATTACAGTGAAATTTAGCTGTCCAATGCCCAAAAGCTATTCCTACAAATGCCAGTGAATCTTTTCATTGGGTTTGTGTAGATGCTTCAAAATCTTGAGAGTACTCTAAACATGATTTTTTTTTAAATCAAAGCCTCATAAAGTTTAAAAGTTATTGCTGGTTTTGGAAAATAATAACTTCTATTAAAGGTGAATAACTAAGTATTCTCCATGTGAAAACAATTTTTACCTATAATCTTACACTGATTTGTAAAATCCACTCCAAATAAACACAACTCTACTTATGACCATATGATGCACTCACAAGACCACTGTCAACTGGACAATCATGGAATCACAGCCACAAATGTCTGTAATTTAAGCCATAAGCACACTTTCAAGCAGAATAATTTCCAAGGTCAAGGGAAATCAGTGTGACGTGATAACAGTTTTCAAGTATAAGAACTGAAATGGCTAGGCTATTTTAACAGCTCTTAATAAAACTTAAGTTAAATTAGTGAATAATGACCGACAATCACTAATGTAAAACTAGACTTTATAATATCAGAATAAATATAAAATCTCACTGTCTAATGCCCTTTGCTATCAATGACATGTAAACACTATAAACATGTGTTGCTATACAAAGATATAGGAAAGAAAACTTAATTATACAATCAGCAATCAATAAAAAATAGTTACCAGATTTTGTATTTTTATTGCTATTCTGTTACACCCATTATTTAATACTAAATAAAATATGAAAAACAAATTCAATTTACATGTATTAATTCAGTATTAATTGTCTTTTGCATTAAGAAGTTTATATCTTATCAGGCCAGTTTGTTAAAACCAACTATATGAGTATTTTTCATGATATCAACCTAACTGAAATCTGTAACAAACTTGAAGTTAGTATTGGCACAAAAACGTGGTACCAGTATGCCTATAGTCTTTGACATCTGGTTGTTGATTCAAAAACGGTTTTGAATTTTTTGTATGAATTTTGATGCTAATAAACAACAGTGTCTACTAATAATCAATTATCTGTAGACTGGTGAAATGTCATTGACTATTATCTAAATAATTCAAAAATCCATTTATCCATTTACCAAGCAATATTCACACTAAGTATCCTAAATATCATATTTATGAGGATAGTTCTTATAGTTTTGGGATGTTTCTTACCAGAGAATAATTTGGTAAAGGCTAGTAAAATGTGACTGACCACTATTGGGTCAATTCTCACTGAACACTATCCATATAAACAAATTTAAAGATTAAAATTAAAGGTATTTAACTTCCATTTTATATTATCCACACGGATGTATATGTATTAGATGAAACTTTTCTACTAAGATCAGTGAAATTATGTTGATAACTGTATGTATATTGATTATCCCACGTAACAACATTTTAGCATTTTGAAAAACATACAGCATGATCATCTGGCTTGTTTATTGATCCCACCAGTTGGGTAAAAATATTCTGATATAATTAACTGCTCAAAAAATGACCATAAGACACTAGTTAAACTTCAAAAATATACATAGCATAATTGTACATAACCAAGATCTTAAATACTGGCATGGCGACACAAGATAGACTTGAAAATAAAGATAAATGTTACTGACCAACAATATGCATAATTGGGAAAGAGACACCAGACAGAGTTGAATATAAAGATAATGTAACATAACCAAAAGAAAGCACAAACAAGATTTGAAAAACAGATAATGTCCTACAACTAACCTCTGAATAACTGACCAGAAGACACCACCCAGACTATCTGGGGCATGATCACAGCATCGCAGAACAAGAAAGATGTTCTTGAGAAGTTTTGTTTTTTCTTTTTCACTACAATGAGCTGATTGTATGACTAGTAAGGTGGACAAGGTGCATTCATGTACAGAAAAAACCTGTAATAAAAATAAAACACTAAAACTGGACATTGTTTTTAATATAAAGATGTACTTCCAGAAGTATAATTATTAAGAACTTACTTCATTATTTTCACAATATTATATATAAAAACAAGCACAGTACTCCAGAAATAATTTTTATTAAAACTAATGTTTCCCCATTACAACTTCATCAAGTTATTAAAAAACCATACGACAGAATATGATACCAGCAGAAAACAATGGCTTAAAACTTCTTAGAAACAATGAAGATATCATAATGTGGAAAGCTGATAAATGAACTTACTTTCTTAAATCCTCTTCATCCCAGGTGATGCAAAGGACTTAAATAAATGAAACTAATAATTCTAATGGCCAAACAATATCATTCCTTAATGTAAAATATATTGAATGAAAAATAAAAATTCACCCAATCAAACACTGATCCAAACTACCCTCTATAATAAAATATTAAACATATTACTCAAAATATTAATAAAAGAAAAAAATCCAGTTTTTCTCACATACTAACCAAGAACACCCAAAACCTATAACCTTACACCCAATCATGTCATCTTACAATTCTTAGTTAAAATCACAGTAGATAGTTTAATTTTATACTAAAATAGTGTTTCTATAATAAGATCATAATAAAAAAACTTGGGTATTTACACAGCCTCCTAGATGGTAATATCACAATACATAGTTTTCATGCACATTCCCTCAAATTTCCATCAAGAAGCTATACAGCCTATCATATAAATTACTTTACAAATCTTAAAAGAGAAAGTTAATGTGAAACCAGAACATCTAACCAAATCTCACAACAGTTATTTGCTAAGTTAATGTGAAACCAGAACATCTGAACTTAGCAAATAACTGTTGTAAGATTTGGTTATGTGAAACCAGAACACCAAACCAGATCTTACCACAGTTATTTGCCTTATTATAGGTAATATCCTATTAAGAACATTAGCTACTGTTTTTATTGAACAATATGCTATACACATTTACATTTTTTTGATTGAAATGAGTTTCACACAGGTACAGACAGCTAATGAGCTATTCTTAGTTCTTAATCTCAGTTCCATAAGGTGAAACCTTTAGTTCAAATAAGCAACGAAAGTTAGCATGACACATAAGATAAACTTTTCATTAAAAATCACATCATTATGATGAACTAGCTAAACGAAGTCTTATCCTGTATGTGTTCACAGTGCCAAAAACCCTGCAGGGTGAAAATAAGGTAAGTATAATACACTAGCCAAAATGGAGGGGTGTATCTTTAAAATAAAGTTGGCATGATACACTAGCCAAAATGGAGGGGTGTATCTTTAAAATAAAGTTGGCATAATACACTAGCCAAAATGGAGGGTTGCATCATTAAAAATAAGATTAGTAAAATATAATAACAAAGAGAAGAGTCTTACTTTGAAAATTAGGTTGAAATGATGCAATAGTTAATATAAGAGACATAATCTGTAACTGTTGTTACTATAACAGATAATAAAAATATCTTTTCTTCAAAATGACATCCGTATGTTGCAGTAGTTATGACATGTCTTATACAAGAATGGGGTCAGGATGACCATCAGCTAAAAAGAAACTGTAACTTCAAAATGACATCATTTGATTAGTCCAACAACATGATAGCTAAAAGTCTTGAAAAGTGTTCTGCAAAATGCATAAGCAAAAACAAATGTAACACCTAATAAATGTTGTTAGTATTATACACTAGCTAGAAGGATCATACAATGAAAATGAAACAAGCAGAAAACGACAGCCACCTGAAGGGTTGTGTCTCGAAACCGTCTAGCTAAGATGAAGTTGTAAATGATATCAGCATGATACATCATCTGGTAGGAATAACTTACCTGAAAATTAGGTCAGCCCAGTGCACTATCGTGAAAAAAAGAATCTTACCTGGAAAATAAATCAGCATGATGCATTAGCTAAGAGGAGGGTAAACAAAATTAGTATAATACACTAGCCAGGAAAAATGTGTTGGTAGCATGACATAGTAACTAAAGGTGTTGCATTTTGAAAATGAAGTCAACATACTGTACTAGAAGAATTATTTTGCAAATGGTTACACTGCATTGATGTACCTAAGAGAAGTGTTTAGTTTGAAAATGGTTACATTGCATTGATGTACCTAAGAGAAGTGTTTAGTTTGAAAATGGTTACATTGCATTGATGTACCTAAGAGAAGTGTTTAGTTTGAAAATGGTTACA